CAGGTTTCTAAAATAAAAAGTATTTGTTAGGTGATGCTTGTTGTGGGGATTTTGGACCTGTGCGTAATCCTACTCGCATAGAGTAAAGATTACATTTATAGTTTACGCACTTTGGTATTCTGAAATCAGTCAAGGATTTATTAAACAAAATGACTGGGGATGTGTATTATGGGAAACGAAGGGAAATGGGTGCACCTCCACCTTTGCAAGGTATGCAATTGGGAGCTCCGCCATTGAAGATCATCCACCTAAAGAGCGTGCTGTTGGGGACATCCTCCTCGGTCCAGGACGTCCCCAGTCTTCCACTCCGACAGCACTCCTCCCTGCTCATCCCGGGCATGTACAGCACCTGGCACCTCCCGTTCTTCCCCTGCTGCAACCAGCAGTTCCCAGCTGCAAACAGAGACACAAAAAAAGCTCGAAATGTCGCATGCTGAACGTCTGAAACCGCTGACCCAGACGCACCAGACACACACGCAGCCGTATTATCCGAGACGCGCCCTCCCTCCCTTTCGCCCTCCCGGCAGTATTTTTGTCTGATTTTTTTTTTTTTTTTGCTAGACTGTTAACACTTGCCTATCCCATCTGTGACTGACAGCCCTTACAATGCAGCCACAAACCAAAAAAGTAAGAATAATCTTTAGAGGGGGGGTTGTCCTTTATTCCTACAGCCTCCTTATCACACAGAAAGTGGAGTGTCTAGACGGCGTTAAATAGCAGCCAATCTCCTTCAGAAAGCACGGTCTTTAGCTTAACACACCACCGTCTACAACGCTTCAGAACAATATCCCAGACATGCACACACCAGATAATGATAAAATGATTAGAGAAGTGTGCTTTTTATCACACCTTTGTAAGGTTTATTTTAAACATGTAAAAATAAAAAAGCAGAACTGTTTCCCTATTTCCTTGGTATAAAAATATAATTTGATCCAGACAACAGCAGGATGTCTAAACCGAAACAGACACACATGACATGAAGTGCTCATAGGCTGGTGTGTTTCCTTAAATTGAAGACAGATTTCTATTATATCTGTTCGAACTATAAGATATAAAAAGAAATGATACATTCAAAAGTCTGCAGTTTTATTATTTTGTTAAACTAAATAATAGAAAATGCAGCAAAAAGCTATTTTTGCACACAATTCGTGGATGTTGGCAAGAAACAGAACTAGCACGTCCATAAAGTGGATCGTCTGAAGTTTGTTGCACCATCGTTAGAAACTAAACGCTCATACAAAAGTATTACAATATGCTCAGGTATTGTAGAAAGCTGGTGCTGCACCAGCTCGGCGTGGTGCGTGCGCCTGGGCTGCAAAACTTGCCATATTGTCACTTTGAAGTGTCCCATATGGCACCTGTTTTATGGACGCTGATGCAGAGAGAGTTTTATCAGCGTGGAAAAAGAAAACTCACTTTGAAAAGTTTCTCAGTTGCAGCAAGTATCCGACACTCGGACGCATAGTGTGCCTGACAGCAAGTTTTAATAAAACGGAAATAATTAAGGACAATTTATGAAGAGATCTTACCTTGAACTTTTTGATGTTCCATGAGATGACAAAGCCATATGAACAAGAGAAAAAAGCCCGGGTGAAAGTGGTGTTTCAGCATCCTAAACATGATGGAGAGGCAAAGTGAACTACGTATTTGACACAGGCAGCGCAAAAGTAATCTGCTTAAGGTGGCAGTGTTGAATAACTGTCAGTCTGAGAATGCAGCCTCTCTTTTTAAATCTATAAGGGGTCTCGGGTTGACTGTCTCTGGTGGGCGGTCTCCTCTTCTGTGGGGGTGGGGAGATTTTTTTTTCTTCTTACCAAAGTTCCTTCAATCCCAGTCAGGTGACATCGTTACAAGCAACTTTCTCTTACCACAATAATCTAATAATATGAAGATATGTCTGAATGTGTGATTAAACACCGCCCTTCTGAATTTTGCTGCTTTGCAGACAAACAAGAGCAAAAACTGCAGATCAGATTTGATGTGTAAGTTTATATTTCTCGTGTTTTGATGCAGAATAATGTAATTAATGTTTCATCGTTGTATTCTTTTTTATCACATTATATCACATTGAGGTATACAGCTCGTTTTTAAGCATTGCTTGTGTCCTTATGCGTATTTTATAATAATAATATTCATAATAAGCATATTCATAATAATAGTAATAATAATGAAGGTCAATGTTACTCATATATCAAAGGCCTTTATTACTGTATGATCAAACATGCCCACAGCCAACATGCCTCTCTGGGCATCAGTGCTTCAAATTAAGATTACTACTTGTTGGTAACTGATATTTTTTCCACCAACTGCAGACAAAAGTGTAAATCTTTTGATGAGAGTTGCCTTTTGGAATATATCCGAGACCAGACAATAATAGCATTCATAGTAGTCCGCAGCCGCACTGCTAATATTAGAACAGACAGTTGTTTGGGTTTCTCTCCTGGGTCAAGCTTTTAAATATAATCAAACCTGTTTCCGAAGAGGCTTCAGACAGAGGAGCGGGGTGTTGCATTTCATTGAATGAAACACACACACACACACACACACACACACACACACACACACACACACACACACACGCACACGCGCGCGCACACACACGCACACACACAAACACACACACACTGACGCACAGGCTGATCTCCGTCAGAAGTCCTTGCGCGACCTCTTCAGCGGAACTCTGGTTACAGCTCTCAGCAGAGAGCAAAGTGTCTGCTGTGTGAATCAGACACCAGGGAGTTCATTATCTGTTGGCCAGATAAAGGACACTGTGATCCCTTTCTTTTTCATTAAAACGAATACTATTCAATCTTCAAAATATCAAAACTTTACAATAACCAAATAAATCCAGAACTTTAAGTGTGGCTACTGAAACGTGATAAGATCAACACATATTATAGTTGTTTAAAGTTTGTGTTGTATCCATCTGAATATTCACATTATTGTCAGTGCAATGTCATTACAGGCAGCACTGGGCTACATTTAGTGTTATTATTGAATATATTACACACTTTTATTAACACAAACAGAGGATTAGAAGCTGTAACAGACACAGGAAACGATGTGTTTTGTTACAACAAAACTCGTATTTCAACAGAACAACAGAGAAACATAGAGTCTAATACATGTTGCAATCTTTTTCCCCGGTTACACATTATTTATTAAGACCACCAAACTTCTCTTATCCAACAGAAAGAGAGGTTGTTTGATTTGTAGTGAAGGATTAATTCTCTGTTTTTGCAGTTTTATTTAGTTGTATTGCCACACATACATATGCTGTGCTAAAAAAATAAAAAATAAAGAGAAGATGTGTTAATCCTCAGTTTAAGGGACGTCATCATAATCTGCTTTAAATCATAATCAGAAACAGCAGTCTGTCTCAAGACTCAAAAACAAGGATGCAATCATTAAAAAGAAAAAGAAAAAGGTCGATTGTACCCCCCATTAGCACATGTTCTTTCCAGTTCTTTTGTGTGAATATGTGATAACATGCAGTCACAATAAGCTACTTTCAAAGTATCTGGAGTTATGTGATCTCTCTACTTTAGCTTTTGATGATTATTATATGAGTGAATAAAACATCACGACATTTCAGAAATTCATACATTTCAGAATGATCTGTTTTTAAGACTGAGGGGCACATCTTCACTATTGTTTATCACTTAATGTCACATTAAATGAGGTCTATTATTAAGCTATTTTACCTTATCAACTAGAATAAGCCATGTTTAAATGAAATAAATCTGACTAGTGTCTGTCAAATCAATGGACCATTAATGAGGTAGTAGTTGTCATGCTACTTGTTATTTAGAAATTGTGAAAACATCAAAATTGATGCAAAAGCCAGAAGTCAGTATCTGTGACAATTGCTTCCTTTAACAAGTATGAAAATGTTTATGTTTGTTGAGTTATGTGTGGCACATCACTCAGCGTCTGGTGTGTGTGATTCTCCAGATCAGAGCCTTTGAAGAGTGGAAGCTTCCAAAACACTTCCTGACATGCGAGTACATTTCTGCACTGCTGTATCAACTTTAAAGTGCTGGCTGTCCTCCTGAAGCCATTAATGGCATCAGCAGAGGGACACAGTGCTCCCTGTCCCAGGCTCTCAGCTAAGTGTGGTTCAAACAGACCAACGCAGCAAACTGTTAGTGCTGATTGAAACTAAAATCAGTACAGCAGAATATCTACAAGCCATGGGGATTTACTTTGTTGTTGTACTCCAACCCATCATTTAAAAAATAAAGTCTACGTTCAGGCTGTAATACTGTTAGCTACTCCAATATCTTTCGGACAGACTTGACAAAATCTTTCAAGTTTTAGGTATCGAATGAAATAGATGAAAAAATCTCTCAGAAAATGCAAAAAAAAAGCCAAGGGGTATTCAATAATTTGCTTTGACATCACTTTAGGTTTACAATATTGCAGTCATTTGTGAGCAATCGTCCCATTGTGCATGGCGGTCAGATGTTTGGCTGCAACTGTCAATCAACTTGCAGGAAACCCTCAGGAGATGCACAAAGTATTATTTCCACATAGCTCCCTGTACTCATGGACTCCCAATGCTATTGCTCAACCCCGTAGTGCAAGAGTAATTGTGAAACAGAGTAATTCAATCATCTAAATTCTATGTATTCCCTCCAACAAGGGAAGCTAAAGTCCAGTCTTCATAAAAAAGATGCTAGTTATTAGAGACAAATAGCATATTCCACCTCGCCAGAAGAAATGCTTAAGACTCTGCTGGGTGCCGGAGTTGGCTTGCTCAAAGGGGAAACATTCAGAAACACATTCCTACACAGACAAGGGACAGAAACCTGACTGTGGGAACACACGACAGTCAAAACTCTGAGAGGAAACTAATTGAAATTGAGCGAAAAACTTAAAGGGAAGTGGTCCAAGTAAGGTCCTTTCAGGGCCAAGTCCTCTAAAGGTGGTCCGGTGAGAGGGGAGAGGAGAAGAGATGCAAGAAAAGAGAAACACAATACCAAATAGGTCATAAATGTGATGTATTAATTGAATTGTGTTCATCAACAGAACAGAGAGAAAATACTGAACAGTGCCAACACGTCATCTATATCATACTGCCATCTAGTGGCAACATTGTGCTAATACAGCTTTAACTGAGCCTAAACTCTCACAATCCCCAGTGAGAAACCAAGGTCAAGTGCAGGCTTTACCACAGAACATATTTGATTAGTACCATTCGCCATCTCAGAGTCATGAAGTATTTCTCGGTAGTGAACAGTATTTGAGCGAGAAACAAAGTGTGTTTCATTGATTTATGGCATTGTGGTTTTTTTTACGCTCCAAAGTTATCAATCTGTTGGTTAACAGAAAACACGTACTTGCATCAATTTTGATAATGGATTTAATGGTTTAACAAAAACATTTGCTGGTCATACTCCATTAACCATTAAATAATCAATAAACATTTAACAGATTACAATAACACAATATGCTACTAAAAAAAAGACCTGACAAGATGTGCAACAAATGGTAAAAAACAACAAAATATCATCAATATTACAAATATCATCAATAAAGATAAAAACAACACAAGTAAAAACTTTGCATTTACAAAACCCAATATGAAAGATCATAATTCTATCTTACAGTATATACAGTGACATACACACAGAGTAACAGCTTTTACTCTGTCCACGAAAGGTATCATTTCTTGTTTACATAGAAAATACTAATGTCAATAAATGCAATAAAAGCCCTGAGTGGCTGAGGTGACGCTGGATCGCAAAGCAGTATAAGCTACAGACCACATGTGTAATAAAAAGATTAATGCAAATGAGCATTATTAAAGATAAGGTTTTTCTAATTGAGAATGCAATATTTCTATCATGTTACCATGTTGTTATAAAAATGCAATGCCTATCTTAAATGCCTTTACAGTGTTAAACTCTAAATCCATAATGTCATCTAAAGAAGAAAAAGTATTGCATCCTGTCATATTGGGGGAAAAAGACAGTTTTTACATTGAATTCAAGTCAGTGCATGACAGCAACTGATTAATGTATAGCCCACAAAGCTCAACAAAATAAAGACAAAAAAAACGATCCTCTGTAAAATGGTCCAAATCCCATTTATCCACCCACTTTTATCGACTTAATTCAAATGTACAATTTACAGTGATTGCTCTTCAGTCCATTAGCACTTTATGAGCACCAGTGACGAGTACCAGTATGAGAACAATGCTCCAGTGAGCAGAGAGACGCTGCAGGTCTTACGTTACAGCACTTCATCCACATTTGCGCGGCTCTGCGTGTCGTCATCCTCCATCTGAAGCTGCTTGTACTTTCTTTTGAAAAACCCAAACTGGAAAGTAAACAGATTCAGTTCAGGCACAGTTTATTTTATACGAAAAAGATAACGGAATCAATAAAAAAGAGATTCTAGCGTATGTTTTTGGTAAGAATATATCCAGTTATATTGAAATCTGTTGCAGGAGACGAGTGATGAACACATGTTTTATTTTCAATCTTTAAATAAAGCTGCTCATTCACATGAAACACAGATCAGGTAGATTCTTCTTGTTCTTGACAGGGGTAAAATGCTCATGTATACAGATCATCATCAAAAAAGCCTAAGCTACAATATTCTACTGATGTTGCTCCCTATATTGTAATTGTTTCTTTTCAAATGGTAGACACTAGACACAGACACTTACTTTCCACAGCAGTCCGACGGCCAGAGCCAACAGCAGCAGTCCACCAATGACGCTTCCTGCTATCACTCCCACTGGAACATCCCCTTTCTCTCCAGGTTTACTGACCATCAGCACCACCTGCAGCAGGAGAGGAGAACTCATCGTCTGTCTCACTCAGATATGGCATTATTAACAAAAAACAGCAAGCACAACACGACAGACCATGCCGAACGAAGAAACAAAACAGTATATATATTTTCCTTTTTCTTATTTCTTTTTATGAGGCATCAATCAAAATCTTACTGGTAGCTGTTTGAGGCCGATGATGAGCAGGTCAGGGTTGGAGGTCTCCACATCAAAGTTGGAGGTCAACTCAATCGCCTGATAGGTGGCCTATCAGGACAAATGTATACAAATAAGAGCACTGAAAATGTATTCATTTAATAATAACACTAGAGAATTCATGGTAAAAAAAAAAGAAGGAAAAACCAACGGTAGTATGAAATTAATTTTTGAACATATTTACCGAAATAAATGTGCCACTCCAGATCCTTGTTTTAACTTTCACAAAGTAGTCGCTATTTATTTCGGTGTCCTTGAGGATGCACTTTATATACTCGCATTTTGCAGTCTTGCAGTCCTTTTGATTAAAAGAAACAATGTCAACAAATATAAATCAGTACACAACACTAAATTGTGGTGCAACCACAACATTTCAAATTACTTAAGTTTCTTCTGCATCTAGGCTTTTTGTGAAAAAAATAGAAACCATGCATTCAATAACAACTAAACAAGAATAGGATAAAATCACATACATGTACAAAATATTGTATCATGAAACATGTTCACATAAGGTACTTCTCATTCCTAATTAGATTTAAGAATCACTATTTTCCCCTATGATACAAATGAAAACACTGCAGTAGAGGATGTCTCCTGTGTCTCTCTAAGAAAGATGAAACGTACATAAAGATACAAATGCTCAAAGAAATAAGAGACTGACCAGTTTCTCCATGCCTCTGAGGTTCTCTTCCGAGAAAGACACTTTGTGGTTCTTCAGTCCGATCTTCAGAGGATCGACCAGGCCGCTGGAGTCGCAGCTGACGGCCCCCCCCTGCAGGAGGACAGGCCTTAGGTCATTTATTCTCCCAAAGCATGACACAGTCCAAATCATACAGTACAATTCAAGAGCATTTACAAGTCATGTTTTAATTTAAAGGTCCCCTATTATGCAGTTTTTCATTACTTTATTATAGGTCTCAGATATATACAAAACATGTCTCTGAAGTGTTTGGCTTGAAATACCAAACAGATCGTGCATTGTAGCATCCCATAATCCCCTCTGTTTCAGCCCTGTTTCAAAAGTGCTGATTCTCTGTCTGTTACTTTAGATGAAAATAAGGAGCCACTCCCCACGCCCCTCTGAGAGATATTTGGTTAAAAAAAACACAATGGTGCTCTAGGAGGAGATTCAGGTGATAAGGTGGGGGGGTGTTACCTTGGTTGGTTATTGGCTAATGGTTACACAACCCAAAAAAATCGTTATGACATCATAAAGTGGCCAAAATCCGATTTTCAGACAGGTTTTTATATAAATGGATCAGGACAAAAAGAGAGAGAATCTTTTCTCCTGAAACTTTCAGAATCTCTTTACACAGAGGGGACACATGTTTATGTATAAAAGACAGGAAAAAGTGGATTTTGCATAATAGGTGACCTTTAAGATACAATACACTATGGAAAACTATAGATTGTTAAGTTAAACATTTTTTTTTACAAACTATTTAGGAAGTTGCTGGTATTTGGTGTATGAGTACTCACTGTTTGTGTGTCCACGCTGGTCACGTAGAGCAGCTGGTTTCCACCTTTAGTGGACACTGGCAGAGCGATGGTCACATACATGAGGCTGACAGGGAAGCTACTTGTTGAAACCTTTAAATATAATTTGTTTTAATTAATATAGTTGAAAAATATAAAATGAGAAAATTAGATAAAGATATATCAAGAGGCATATTAGTTTATTGCACCTTTACTGTGAAGTTAAACACTGGGCCGATATCATAAAGACTTGTCACCGTTGTTACCACGGGAACTGCAGTGTCTGCCACGTAGAAATTGATATTTGACTGCCTGTGACAAAATATAAACATTCTCTTTAAAGATCTGCCATCATCAACTGTTAATATATGTTAATAATTGCCATTTTAATTCAAATCACCTTGATAAACCAATCCCTGCATCATATCGAACAGGAAGTGAAATGTCCACCTTGTTGTCTGCTGGTCTTTCCTCTTGACCATCACTGTAAAGGAAAAATAGGTATAGAACATTATTACCTTTAAATCAGGTAACGAGTCAGAGTTCTTCATTAGATTACTAATTCATTAAGTGTACCTCTTGGCCTCAAATTTCACCTCGGCTTGGTTTTGCAACATGTCAAGATTGTATTCAAAATTCAGCTGAAATTTCATCTGTAATGAAATATTGTGATGTTTTGCATTATTTACCATAATTAGCCAAAGAAAGACATTTGTATATAGTCAAAACAGATGAAGATATTTCATATGTTTAAGTCTTTTTGCTTGTAACTTACTTCTTCGTCTTTTTTTAATGCTGGGTATCCCACTTGGCAGGTGACAGTTTGGGTTTGAGTTGAAGCGCATTTGACTCCATCCGTCTGTAAATGTGCAGTTCAGAATTGCACATGACTGCAGTTAGGCTTTGTTTAACTTACAATACACAACTCAAAATCTCTTAACTTTATTCCAAAAACTTCACCAGCACATACAGAAAAGTAGAGAAACAATTCATCCACATTTTCTCTTAATTAAGTATGCATTAAATGCTGAAAACAATTATGAAAGGCTAGATTAAGTGGAAAAACAATTAGATGATGATGCCTTACTTAGTACATGTGCCATTTGGTGATTATCATGTTGACAAATCTGCCACAAAAGTCTATTCAAGCACGTGAATAAGACATCTTTTACTCACAGGAGGGAAGACAGAGGAGTAGTAGAGGTTCCCAGAGAAAGTGGCCAAGACCTGAGTGTTATACGCGTTCTCCTTTTTGTTCTTCACAACCACTTCAAATGACAGTTCTCGGTTATTAGCGCTGACCATAACGGGAGCTGAGCTGCAAGACAAGTGCTCAGATTTCTGTACTCTGCATTTACATGATACAAGGACCATACTCAAAGAATGAGCATTGTATTTGACCATAGGAATAGTAATAAGTAAGGATAGTTAAACTTGATTAAAAGATGGGAGTTGTGTAAATATGTGAGCCTAAGGTGATTTATTCATTTTGTGTCAAAGAGTGTTGGTCTTTCTCTTCTTTTTTCATTGACATCTATAAATACAGTGGAGACAGCACAAGTTTACAAACATGAAAATAAATGACAGCTTCAAAATCACAAATCAAATGTTTGTGAATAGGTTTAATGTTTTACTTTAGTTCTTTTGCATATCACTCAGCACATATCACCAAAAAGTTGTTAGTTTTTCCCAAACTCACAAGTCTGACCCAGTTATTTAATGGGCTATGCAGTTGCTCTGTAAACTGGAAAACTCGAACTAACGCAGCTATTTAAAAATGAGACAGACTCATAAAAGAGAGTAATAGAAAATTGTGTAATGTTTGTTAGACGTTACCAAGGCATAACATTAAATATAGATTTAGACACGCAAGTCTTTCTTCTTTGTTACATAAATGTGTATACTACCAGATCAATTAAAAAACAGGGCTCTAGGGTTGGTACAATAACAGATGGTCATTTCAGTACAGCATGAGAGGGCTGCTGTTTACAAATGTAAACCCTAAGAATCTATTATTATAATCACAGACTTTAACTAAAACAAAAATCTAAACTTCAACGGAAATATTAAAGTTGTCATTATTTACTGAGAGGGCCGTCGCATTAAAGTAAGAAGCTGGTAGAAATAATTATTCTTAAGAGCCTTGAGGTGATCGCTTACCCTTATTTTACAAATGACTCATAGTGAAGAAAGACATCTCCGTGCCTGAGCTTGTTCTGTTACACACATCATTATTACAACTCTAAAAACCCTTAAATTAAAAACTCATTCTTTAACCTGAAGATACAATCCCACATTGAGCAAGTTAGACATGTTACATCTTCACACAAACATTGATGATTCTTACCTGGACGCCTTTGTGTCTGTTTTCACACTGAGCACCAGATCGCTGACACACACGTCATCAGAGCCGCAGTCTTTTGTGAAGGGGATCTGAAACAATAACAGAGCGGCAAATTCAGCCCAGGATGCTGCTTCATTATTCTCTTAAGGCATCTTCAAAACGAATGAAACTGTATTATATTTGTACTGCATTGAATGAACTTTAACCTTTTGTTTGGGAAAACACCAGTTGTGTAAATCGTAGAGCTTGCGTGACTTAGTGAATCACTTACGTTTGAAAAGTATGTAATCATTTCACACCATGTAATTTTAAATGACTGTACAAAATAACACTCTATTTAAAGTCCTGATTGTTTCCTGTTAACCCCTTAAGACCAAAGGCAAACAAATGAACACACATTCAGACATTTCATGCACTGTATCACTTACAAAGAACTCCCATGCACTTGAAGAAAACCTATCGAGGACAGGGTTCACATCTGCATTCTGCTGCTCGATTTCTACTTTCAGACTGAGGGAATTGACAAAGTCTGGTGCCTCCTGTTAGAGAAACAACGTGTGGACAGGTCAGGAGATATGAAGTAATATCTCTACAATGTGCTCACATTCATTGATGCTATTTGATGACTGCAAAACCAATTTATTTTGGCATTACCTGAACATAGACCTGGTAATCCAGACACAGGGGCACAGATGATATTTTTGCCTTCTCTGTGAGGTAGCGTTCATTGTTTTTACTGAACAGTCCTCTTGACGTCACCCGTGAAGCCTGCAAGTCAGCGTCCAGAGTCAAAGTGTAGGATATATCTGTAAAAAGAAGAGTAGAAGGTGTTTATTCTCAAACCTAATTATTTGAAAATCTTTCAGGAAATCGCGTTATTTTGGCAAAAATGCTTTTTTGCTTTCTTGCCTTAAGAAAATCAATACCGTCCCACATCTCTGCTTGTGGATTTTGTTACCTTCAATGGGCCAGAATGTCTGATTTACCTGTTTTTAGTATTTTTGTTAAAGGGGACCGATCATGCAAAATGCACTTTGTGATGTCTTTTATACATAAATATGTGTCCCCGGTGCGTCGGGAAATAAAAAAAGGAACTCACCTTGTGATAAACCCGCAAGAGAAAAAGCATTTGAGCTCCATACTGTTTCAGAAATAATCCTTGATGTGGTTTAGAACAGGATGGCGTTTTATCACAGCAGAATTTAACTTTATCTCCGGTAGAATTCTGATCAGGCATTAGCTCCGCCTCCTCTTTTTTTTTTTTTCAAGCTAAGGACCCAAAATCCGCGTTTCTCTAACAGGGCTGCAAAAGAGGGGTTTGAGCAGTATGAGGGATGGCTACAATGGGTGAACTGTTTGGTATTTTAAGCAAGAAACTTCACAGACATGTTTTGTATAGGTATGGCCCTACAATATATTTTTCCAATATAGCATAATAGGTCCGCTTTAAGTTAAGCTAAGCTAAGCTAAAATAAGCTAAGTGGCTTGTAGCTGTAGCTTCATATTTACAACACAGACATGAGTGTGGTGATCTTCTCATCAACTCTTGGTAAGAAAGCAAACAAAGCAAAGTGTATTCTCCAAAAGTATTACTTTAAATTACAGGAATCTACTTATTCCCGAGCAGCACAAGAGGTAATCAGATTTACCAATGGGTCCAACAGGTTTCTTAGGCCTGAATGCAGCACTGAAACAGAGGTTGGTGTTGAAACATGTAAGCTTGCGTCCATTAATGTTACAGGGTTTGTTGAAAATGTTGATTTTATCAGGTTTGAAAGAAGCTCCCGCCGTGACAGATGCCACACCTCTGGACCTGAAAACCAAGAGTACATTAAAATTAGCAATTTTTATAAACAATGGACTCATTTACTGACTTTGATGATTATAATACAATGTGGTAAATTATTTCATACAGACAGATGTTATTACAGGTTGCCAGACATACCAGAGCTGCACCACATTGCCATATGCTCCAATGGAGATGTCAGGGATTGTGTCATCATTCAGATCTTTGTAGCTATCGAGGGACCGTCCGAAATACTGCAGCTGAGGATCCAGTTTTGAGCCAAAGATTCTCTGAAACACATTATCAACAATACCTGCTAATTATTTCAAAGTTTAATAAATTAACTGTCATTAATCATAGGAGACCTTTCTTTTTAGCCCCAATTAAAACAAAAAGCTTCCAAAACAAGTCCCTCTGTCAGTCAGATATCAATTGTCCTCCGTACCTGTGAGTACTGTTTGTTTAATGTCTTCTTCTCCCCGTTGTAGATGTAGATGACACCTTTTCCTTTGTCTTCCAGTGGAGCTCCGACTACAATATCATTGTATCCGTCGAGGTCCAGATCAGGAACGGCAGAGATGGCCATTCCAAAACGAGCGTTCTCTGTTGGGGGGGGACCACTGAGGAATCCCTGCTCTTTCAGTATACCCTTCAGATCACAAACACAGGAACTATGAGGCCTGTGGAGCGAGACCTCTTGGTGCAGGTCTTTTCAATTCTATCGTTGAAGTCAAGCTTTGAAGATATCTTCTTGACTTTTTACACCCACTGAGTGACATGTGGAGTATTTGTACCTTGGTGACCTGGAAGATGTAGACCTTGCCTTCCTCTCTCTTCAGGTCGCTCATGAACATGGGTGCTCCGACCAGCAGGAGGTCCGTCACCCCGTCTCTGTCCACGTCCAGGGGGCACAGGACACTCCCAAAGTATGACCCAATCTAGGAGATGAGTTCAAGCGGTTAACTGACTATAAATATTTCCTACAAGTATAAATGTTTGTATTAGGGGAAATTGTGAATACCACATCCTCAAATGTCAGTACCTGTTTCCCTCTTTCAGAATCTATTATAGCAGATAGTTTCTGGGCATTGACGGTATAGACGATAACTTGTCCAGAGTGGTTGGAGCGAGGTGCACCAGCCACAAAGTATTCTGTAGACACATCGCTGAGTGTGGTGACAGAATAACCTGGGAACCCAAAAAAGCACATTTTACTAGCTGACATTTTGAGCTTGAGAAATCGTTTTGCTTTACACCGTGCTGTAATGTAACAAACACATTTGAAAACAGCCATCCTCCAGTCTGGTTTCTGTGTTGCTTCATGCAAAGTTTTTAAGTTACAGAATCAAATATGATGAATGCAGAGGAAAAGGTTCATGCCTACCCAGTAGTGAGCTGTGGTTTCTGTCTTGAAGTATTCCCTCAAAGGCTGAGAAAGGGAAAATGTCAGCTTTTGACCCTTTTTGATGGACAACAGTGCCGCTCCAAGCGTAGGCTCCCACTGCTCCCAGCATCATCACATCCTGAAACAGCACGGGTCAAAGATCAGTCAGCAGCTACCAAACAAATACTACTAGAGTTCAAAGCATTTATATATATTTTTTCTGGATAACAGACTGAGCAGCTTAAATTCATATTTTTTTCAGTATCAAAGCTTTTAAACTATATCAAAGGGAGTTACTCTACTGAGTTACCCCAGTGAAAACCACCAATAGCATTCAGAACAGTGTGAGATCAGGACATCTTATAATATTATGTGCTTATTCTTGACAGAATGCTGAAGAGAAAAAAAGCAGCTTCCTCATTCCTTTTAGCGAGAAACCCGCAGTACTGCAGGAGGGCTGCTGTGAAGCAAAGCAATGTGTTTTTCACAATGTATTTTGTGGTCAGCCAGATTCTGTGACCAGTTGTATTGTCACTTCAAATCATGGTGACATTATCAATGTTATTTTGATAGGTGTTACACAAAGGGTTTACTTTATTGTATTTAGTAATTGTCACATATTTTCATTGCTTTGACAGCAGAACCCACACCTAAAAATATTCTGTCAATGCATCAGTGGTTTTCCGTTGTCTACCCTGTAGTGTCAGCCTCACTGCATGTGATGTGTGACAAATTATAGGGCAAGAGACAAAAAATAAAGCATAGTCTGGAAACAACGTATGTGTTTTATTTATCTTTGTGTCCATCAATACACTGCTTTCGCCAAAAACCTGTGATTGTACGTAGCAGGTACTACCATGTAGCATATATCCTATTGACTTTAAAACTAGACTTCCTTTAACATGTTTTACACTGCCACAACCACAAAACCATGACATTGTTCAACATAGTGGTGGATGTGTGAACTTGCCATGTCACAATTGATTAGAAAGGTTTAGAGGTGTACAATACAGTGTTCTTTACCTGTCGACTTGAATAGTGAGCGCTGAATCCGACCTGGGACATTTCCATCTTAAAGTTGTCGCCCCCTTTTCCAGTGCCTTTTTGGAACAGAGCATTGTTTAAACACCAGCATTGACAGCTATTACCGCCTCACAGTTACTGCCTCAGCTAAAGTCACATTGCAGTTTAAAACCCATGTATTTCCAAAATGTCATAGCCTCATTTTTTATCCTTTTAGAAATGTGTGCAAAACGGTCATAATAGGGCGTAAGATTATGGCCAAAAACGTTTTATTACTTTACGACCACCAAATTCTATTTAGGTCATCCTCTAAAGTGGATGATAGTGCCAAATTAAACAGAAATGACAATGACAGAAAAATGACAGAATGAGAAGTACGGACAAACAACACAATTAAAACCGAGATGCATATAAAAAATTGGAAAAAAAGGCAAAAAAAAGACATTTCCTTTGATCTCACTTTTGATCTTCAGCTGTGACAGGTATGTTGTGACATGCCCGGATGATGCATGATTTGTCAAGTACACATACAGCCTGTGAAACAACAACCATAGATAAAGTATATTACTGTATGTACCTTCTATGTTGAAGATGCGGCTCCCCAATGCTCCAGCGATGGTGGAGAGGGCCGCCTCTTCAGACACATTGAAGAAGTACTTCTCTGTGGGTACACTGGCAATGGATTTGATTTCTTTTATAAGGTTGTCTGTGTTGATGTCGTTTCGGATGTAATAACCCAGGACCTATGGAAACAAATGGAACACCACAAATTCAGGTACTAACACTGGCACATCATAACTACTAATTAATCAGACATGCAGATAAAAGGCATAATATTTGTTGCAAAGTCATCCAATGATGTGCAGTCAGCAGGCATTGTTCACATCTATAATAATATAGACTTTAAACTAAAATATAAACTATAGAATTGGAGGTAGTTGGATGTCATTGGTATTAAATTGCAGATCATCACTTACAGCAATACCGAAGCGGGTGATACCTTGTGCCTCACATTCGGAGATGACTGTATCACTGAAGGCCGAGTCGTGAGACTCCCCGTCAGTGACCACTACCATCACCTTGGCAGCGTCTGGTCGCCCTCCGTATTTACTATTGAAACCCCACTGACTGAAGAGAGCAGATACAGTGGACACTTTTCAGTAAATCAAATAATCATTAGTTCCTAATCAGGTTATAATACAACAAATAAACAGACAAGACAAAAAGAACAACAGACAAATCATAAGAAAAACTGAAGCAAATATACCAACCATATAAATTAAGTAAATCAAAAAAACAGAAATGCATAAAAGGTGGTTCCACTGCAACACTAACCTGGCATATTGGATCGCATGAAAGGTGTTGGTGGAAGAGCCGTACATTTGTGTGATTTTGGACGTTGCAGCTAGCACCTCATCTTTGGTTTTATACTGGTTCAGTTTGAGTTCAAACTTCGGATTGACACCATACTGAATGACACTGACCTGGCATAATGAAACAACAGTGTGATAATGTACAGCATGAACCCCCGCCTTATTCTCTGCATAGATTTCCTCTTGTGGCTAGTAAAACATGACATTACCTGTGTTTTTTTGGGCCCGATGTCGAGTGCAGGTATTAATTTCTGGAGGAACGCGGTCATTGGAGCCCAAGGATAAATACTGTTGGAACCATCCAACACAATCACGATGTCCATAGGCCCTCCACATGCTAGTAATGTGCGAGGAGAAATATGATGATACATTTAGGCAGAAGTCAATAATTGTAAGTTCATGCCCTTCACTTTACTGCTGATCACTGTATGTTTACATTTCATGCATAATATCGCAGCTACCTCTTAGTTGCATTTTTTCTACATTTGTTAAAATTACATTATTATGTGGTTTAACAGCTGCAAGCAAAAAAAACAGTTTTGAAGGTTTGTTCAAAAAATGTCCATTGAGGATTCGAGAAGCTGATAAAAGGCAGAGTATTGCCAAGCTATGTTGTAAAAAATGTGAACCTAGCAGATACATAGTATTGATACATTTAAAACAGGCCATGTCTTTTGTTAAACATGTTGCTGTTTGTGAGCCAACTCAAAGATACAAAGATACAATACATACAGTAGCTCAACATATCTGCCATCATATTAAAAAAAATACAGATCTTACTCTGGATGGCAGGAGAGAAGGCAGGTTGAGGTTGAAACAGGGGGTTCATTCTTGCACATATTCCTGGGTAGAAGACCTGATTGCCACACTGCTGTCCCCAAAGAGGACCGCACATCTGCATCACATGAGAGGAGACGTAATGAGTTTGAGTTGAACATCAAATTATATGTTATATTAAACTATGTTGGTGTTAAATAAAGATTTATGTGCAATGTCTGTTGTCTTAATTTAGTAAGACTACTTCCTGCTGCTATCCGCAACACACTTGCTTCCACCTAAAAATATACTGTATCACTAAACACAAAGATAGAAAATGACCTGCCAATCTCTAAATAGCACAACTTCCTTTTTGTATCCTTAGTATGAAAACACACACACACACACACACACACACACACACACACACACACACACACACACACACACACACACACACACACACACACACACCACACACACACACACACACCATCAAATCATCAGAAGCAGGCATCCGGGTAAGAGTCAAACCCAGGCTCATGTTGTCGTTGACGCTTGTAACATCTGGAATACTAACAGAATCTGTGGACAGAGAGGCAAAGGCAAATAATCAGTAAATAAAATATTATGTTTATAAAACTTGAATTCTTACAATTTTCCTTAGCTCAAAGTATTAATGGAATACTTGCTTTGCTGTAAACTGCTATTATTCTTATATTTTTTATTAATTTTCAGAACATCAGAAGCCTAATGTCTGGAGATATTTGGGATATGTTTTAAAGACAGCACATGTCTTCAGTTCTGTTTCGGCATTTGAAGTACATGGACAATGTTTGGTGTAGAAGTCAGAGGTTAAACAATAAAACACCAAACCTTACCTTGAAGATTGAGCTTGTCACAGCTGTTTCTGGACCCTGAGACTGGACACTTGTAAACATCCCCCTTCCTGTTAGTCAAACCACTCCATGGGGCACCAACCAGGAGCCTGCAGAAAACAACAATATCCATCTCTTCCTAACTCATAAACATGAAATTACAGTAAATGTTTTTGTGTACAGTGCATGACCTGCTGCACATACAGGAGCTGAATAGGACTCCAAATGATTTAATTCTGTAAAATGGTTACAGAATTTCAATCTTTAAGCTTAAAGTTAAATTGTTGTGGCAAAAAAAAGTGATTTGATTTCATTAGTTACAAATCAAACAGGGGTCAGACCCTCAGCCGGACAATTTAAAGAGAGAACCAGTACAAAACATCCAAAAACAGTCGTACACTAAGAGAGTAACTTTGTGTGTTTGTATTCTGGGAAAGTGCCAACAAGTCAGTGATGTGGATCTTCTAACGTTTGAAGAAACAGCAAACAAGATTCTACAAGACTACAAAAATGTTACCCCCACATCACAACATCCAGATGCTGATTCTGATACAAGAAGCTAAGATATAAAAATAAGATATTTCTCAAAATCCAGAACCACTTATTTTAGAAATATGTAAGTCCCAATACTGCTCTTAGGTTGACCCTTAATTTATAACCAACTTCAAGTAAACTCTCCAAAGCGTCAAACAAGGCACAGGAAGATGGACAAATCCTCCTAATGTGTTAGTAAGAGCACAGCACACAGGATGTGACACTATTGCCTTTAATGGTTCTTTATGTTAGGGAGCAGAGACCACTATCAGATACTGGACACCCCCTGATTATGCAACCAGGACACTCCTCCAGACATGGAGTGACTCTGACTGTGACTCAGAGTGAACAACTTCCAGACATCACTGAGGAGCTCAGTTACTGTTTAACTAAATGTTACAATTTGAGTGGCGCAACATGTAAGAAGCTTTAGACATGGCAGGATTCTTTGTGTGACACATGCACCTTGTAGCAGCTCAGACAAAATGTAGTACCATATTATTATTTAAGACTACAGTTTCTACAATTTTGCAGTGATATGCCCAGGGTAGTGTTAGGAGATTCAACATGTATTTATTAGTACAAAAGAATGTGTTCAAGAACATGACTAAGAGTCTGCCGCCATGCTAGCGCCACTGTGAGGCTGTAGTCTGGCACATTGGTGCTTTTGGTACAGTAAATGCTGATATTGCGCTGGAACCCTGTCTCCTCCTCTTTCCCACGCATCTAAACTGCATTTTCAACTTTGTTGTAACTACGTGTTAAAGGAAAGATATCGTCTCCAGGATTTAAACACGTTTTTAACTTTTTTAATTGAAACTCAACAAAAACCCAACATAACTACTTGGTTAAGGGTTAAGTACACATCAAGGATTGCCTTAAAATACGTATGTTTCTTACATTATTGAAGTTAAAAACATCAAAGAGGACTTTTGGTTTCACACGAGACATTAGCACTAGGCAGGTGATTGTTACGCCCATTCATCTAGGAATACACAACTGTACAATTATCCATCGAGTAGCTGCTTCAGTCTGGACAAGGGTAGTATGATGAGCAGCCAACCAACAGAAGTCATTTCCTCTAGCATGTCTAAAAACCAATTGTGGTTATCAGGGTTAAGCAGAGGAGCTGCAAAAACACAACCTCTAAAGCCTTGCACATTCCCTTCATTTAAAAACAAGATGCAGTTGAGCAGACAATCAACTGAGATTTCATTTGAATCATCTGTTCTAACAAACCAATGATTAGGTAACAGTATGTATACACAATGAATGGTAATGCAAGAGTGTGGACAGTTGTGTACATGCAGATCACCAAGACAGCTGATAATCAGATGCAACACTTTACAGCAACAGGCCTTCATCGCCAAATGGATACTTCTCCTGAGAATCTTTGGAGCATGTTGAACCTGGGAATTCAGCCATGTTTGGTGTAAAGGCTTGTTCTGACAAGGTGTATCTCCAAAAGTGGCCCACTGAGTGAGTATCAGCACCTTGTTTGCTCTACAGTAAAACTCCTCTCTGCTTTAAATCATTATCTTCCTTACCTTTATAGCTATTTCAAAGATTTTGCAAAGATATAACTTCAAATGAATGATTAACCGGACACCACACACCAAAGCTACAGCACATAGACAGGTCACAGTGTGTGATGTAAGCATGGACAAAAGCGATGCAGTGTAGGACCTCGAAGATAAAACACAGATCCATACCATTTGCCTTCATAGTTTGTTGCTTGTTGAACCGTGTAGCCAAACTCCTCCGCAGCTGGCCCACTGAAAATCTTGGCACCTGCAGTGCCGACGTTGAAGGACTGTGAGCGCCATATTCTGTCAGCTGGAGGGGGAGAAAGATGCATGACATCAACATCATGCAAGGTGTCTTTACTGATAATAAGGACCTTGTCAAGGCAGTTGTTGCTTGTATACCTATCAAGTATACCATCATTATTTTATTTTTGTATGCATGCATAATGTTTGATAACAAAATTGTTATGAGGTTGTTTATGGGAGGGAGGGCATCTGACTTCCTCCTTTGGGTGGTTTTTAGTTGAATCATGTACGTTTGAAAAAACACATCAGCTTGACTCATGAAGGCAAGGCAACCGACTAAAAAAAGTTTAAATACATGAAGGTCATACTATACATGAAGTGTGGATAACTGCGTTAATGGATATTGCAAGTCCCGGAACACTGTGTTGCGACACAATCCACCTTTAATCACAGCCCTCTAAACCCCCCGGGACATGGAAACTGCCTGTGTACGAGTGAGTCTTCCTGCAGAATCAGACCCACAAGCCCATACAGGCAGAGCTCAGCTATCTGCCTGCAGCCTGCCCCTCTGTCAGCAGGCAGAGGAATGTGCATGGGCTCTGGACTCAAGAGACCTTCACTGCACAACCACGCCTGTTTACCTGCAGAACAAAGTGCCTCCTTTCGGCGTCCTGCAAACCCCAGAACATATCTACATTTCAATTCATTTCAGAAACAGGGAAAATGTGGATATAGGAGAGTACAATAAAGTATGTGTGGCTGCTGTCTGAAAGGTTCGACAGACTACAGAGCAGATATAACAACACTGTGACCTCGTTTCTACACAAAAAGCCACGTGATGCACAGTATAACCAGCAATCTGGTTGTATTTAATCCATGTGGGTTAACTGTGGATCGTGTAGTTTATTTGGTAGCAGAGGAAGAAACGCAGCAGGGTGGCATGATTTCAAAACAAAAGCACCTCCAGGCAGAATAATTCACTCAAATGGACTGCACACTGAAACTACTCCCTGCTGTTCTTCAGATGTGTTTTATGAGAAGAAACAAATAAATGAACAATCAAACTAAAAGTTATGACCAACAACTATTAAACATTGACGACTTCAATTTATGAAAACGATTTGAAACGCTCGCTATTCGTGGAAAGAATTGTTGCTCATTTACTCTTTAGGTGAGAGAATAAAGCAAATAACACCACCAACGTCCACAAATAAGTTCAATACTTACTAATGATTACTAAAGTGAAGAAGAAATTCCCCCAGATGAACTCCATCGTCGACTTTATTCCATGTGTATGGTGGTTAAATGAAGCCGCTGCACTTGTCAGAGTTGTGGCTGCGCAGACCAGCCGTGACGCGCCGGACACGCTTCCTAAATAAGGACTGAGCTTTGCCTCTCACCTGCCGGATCAAACTTTGACCCAAGTATTGTCAAAGGGTGTGAAGTGAACTCTGCAATACAGTCTGTCTGGGGAAAGGCACTTTGGTCACGTCCTGTGGCTAGAAATCCAGCTGTGTTCAGGAAGGAGACCGAATGAAAGTCCTCTGGTTTAAAGTTAAGTCATTCACTGCTCAAGATTAACAGAAAAAAACCAGTATTCAAAATAAGTCCACGCCCAATAGTTTTAATTGAAATCTCATTTAATCGTCAGTCCAAAGCCACATCACGAGAGGACAAACAACATTTAAATTAACATGTCAAATGAAAAAATAAACATCATCAATTTACAGTTCATCATTTGAGTCTCATCTCTGATCCTTCTAAACACTATGAGTTCTGTATGTACAACCCAACATGGAGCAGAGTTATTGACCATTCAATGCTGAATAAGGACTTATATGTATTTAGAATATGGAGAAATTATATACAGACAATAAAAAGTATTTTACGAGCTGGAAGAATGACCAAAACCATGTTCCTCCACTGGAAAACAATCATGTAAGACCTTTAATTGGAACATATGTGTTGAAGCCTTTAAATGAAATGGGCAGGATGGGGAAAGAGTTGAAAGACATTTAATTTTCAATGAGTGGTTGCATTCCAAAATGCAATTTTGGAAAGAATCTTAGCTGGTGGTTGTTTCTTAATACTCAGACAGAGTATGATACCCTCTTATGCTGATTTGTTTAGTGAGTAAGTTACTCAAGATACTGTAAAGGGAAACCCCACTGATTCCAATCAAGGTTGAGTATTCATTGAAGGTATGACTCAGCCGGTTGTGTGATGTCTACTGTGGCTCTGGAGGAAGTCAGAGAAAATGACCTCTGTGACATCATCTTGGCAACAGATTTGAAACAGAAAGCCTGCATTGTGAACAGGGTAGTGGAATTTAAAGGATGTGGGCATTACACTGGATTTCGCTTGCATTATGAGAAATATAGGATGCAGCATTTTGAGAGCCTGGAAAGGGAGACAAAATCTGGATATTTGTGCCTCAGTTGCTACGATTTTGACCAATTCACTAAGTCATGCTGTATTTGGCAGGAATGCTATCACACTCACACAGCTCTACTGGAGCAGCTGGGACTAAGCCTCTTAAAATCACCTATTTAACCACTTTCACCATCATGCAATAATTTAACCAATAACACTGATGGGTGTAATTAAGCCGTTCACTTATTGAACACAGTTAGGCTGTTATATTTGTTGGATTTTGTGTCATACTTTCAAGACTAGTACACCCAAACTTTATTTATGTTTTTTGGTCAGATTATACCATACAGTAAGATCACACTTTACCCTCTCCCTTTCCTTTAGACAGTTACAGTGTAACACTGTCATGGTGTTTCAGTGTTGCTTTCCATGCTTTGCCCAATGTGACTTATAAAGATGAGTTGAACATCATAGCTACAGTATCTCCACTCTTTCAAATGCATCACGTCAAATCTTAAATCACACTAATGAACTAAGGCGTATCCCGTAAAATGTCAAACTTGAGGCTTTCATAACATCAACCACAAACACTTATTAAAGGCTCTCTACACTGTCTTCAAATTCAGTATGAACATTTTTCACACAAGCACTGCAAGGACTGATGAGGTAATTGTAATCAGTATCCCACTATAGTGTTCAGATACATTGTAGGCAGTTTGCCACAGACCCTCTGCTATGTGTTCAGTTAAGTTGATTCAATAGGTTTGGTTGTCCTGGATATCATCCGTATTCAGCAGCTGAATCATACGCCCTCTCCTCTGTTTGTGCAGCCATGATTCGTGTGCAAGTCATGGTAGGCCAGAGCACCTTTACAATTCCTAATGAGCCACTTCAAGCTCTGGTGACGCAGCGCGGTTCCTGGAAAAGGCTGAACTTATTTTGTTGTATTTTTGGTGACAAGACTTGCCTTGAGAAACTGAAAAGGGTAAAAACTTGTCTTTTAGACAAATCAAACTAAACTTGTTAAATCCCACTCAAGAGTTTTAAGCAGCTCGTTCTGTTAAATCATGTTGAAAAATCGAAGGAAGTCTCTTGTCACAGCAAAGCTTGTGGTCTATTTTTGCATCAGGCCCTGACATCTTGTAGAAGTGTGGGAAAGTCTTTAAAAATCCCCACTGAGGAGGAACATGAGTCATTTGAAGTTGGACTGGGAGTTGAGAGACTATTTATAATCATAGGAAAAGCCTTTGTCCTTGTTTTACTGTACCACATTATTAAAAGGGGTTTCACACTTCACTTCTGTTCGCATCTTGCTTGGTTTGATTGTATTTCTCCAGGTTTTGACTTATTTGAAAAACCATAAAAACAGCACTTTTTATTAACAATCAGTCTGTTACCCTGGATGATCTAACAGTTTTCATTGGTACACATGACTAATGAATACTTCCTATGAAAACTGTTTGTAGCGAGGTCTTAAATACAGATGTTTGTGGTTTTAAGTAAGATGTTTTTTGTGGGTTTTCTTGTAAACTTATTTTGCAATAAACACCTCGATGTCATTAAATTACTACATATATTTAGATCCTCAATGCAAATCTGATGTATTGGAAATACTGTCAAACTTCTCTTTAAGCTCTATCTCATGACAATTTGCAAACATGGTCAAAATAGTAACTCAGTCACACATTTTGTCCCCAGATGTGTCAGACTAATACCTTCCCAGGAAGAAATACATCACTGTGTTAGTTTTGTTCCCCCTCTTATTTCTATGTTTTAAAACCACACTATGCAGAGACATGAATACACGCAGAGACATGAACACACGCAGAGACATGAATATATACACACACACACACAGACACACACACACACACACACACACACACACACACACACACACACACACACACACACACACACACACACACACACACACACACACACACACACACACACACACACACACACACACACACACACACAGAGGTCTGGGAGAGAAATGGAGCTAATCCCTCTTTCACTCCCATCTGCTGACCAATGGGAATCTAAGGCCCTGGTGTTCCCTGCTGCATTGTGAGCCAAACACTCACATCCAGCGGCTCAGAGGGGCTCATGAGTCAATGAATGCACACAGACACGGTGGTCATGTGACTGGTGGGTGAAGCTACCATCCAGTCACATGACCAACAGTTACTTTTCAAACAATCCTCAAGATAGCACACAAAAGGGATGACTGCAGTAAACCAGAGAAAGACGATGCATGATTGTTTTGCATTGTGTGCAATGTGCTTCCTCAAAAACACAGAATGCACTCATGCAGACATCCGTTTTCCATGATGATGAAAATAAAACATTTATGACAAACAATGATCAGTCCTTGTTCTTGATAAGTACCACAAATGTTTATTGACATTACACGTGTGTTTACATCTTTTGAACCAAAATTGTCCATGCTAACAATTTATACAAATTATTGTACGGTAAAGAAAATATAATCAGTGAATCATAATGCTAAAAACATGATATATTATATCTAAAATATGGTGTGACAACCACATTAAAGTGTGCTACCAACCTTAAAGATATTGTTTTTGTCCCATCATGAGGATAGTGGGGGTTTTATGGCCTGCAGCTAACATTGCTTGGTCCCCAGGTCCCTCAGTAAACTGACCCCTGACACAAGTGAAAGAAATATAAAATGTATCACAAAGAAAAGCAATGTTCTTAGCTGTAATCCAAGCTCAAAGTCTCACAATTTCAACATAAATGTATGCTTGGTTGTGGGAGTTATAAAGTACCAAAGAGCTATTACACTGTAGCAAGGCAAATAGCTGCGGTGAGGGTAAAGAGATGTCATGATATTCTGTTTGTCATCTTCCTCTGAGCAGCCTGACCACCAAGCACTTTCAAGGCCATTCTGAACACACATGTCACATTTCTGAAATGTCAACTAAGAAGCTCCTTTATTTCTTCATATAGAAAAGGGAGAGGCTTGCGTAATGTGAACAATGTAAAATTGTGATAATTAAAATATGAAGATGGGGCAAGACATGCCTGGGACTAAAAGTATAAATGTTTGGACTCTGCAGGGTTCCCCATCTTGTTTTGTCACTGTCTTAGATCTATTATGGTTAAGTATGGTGTGCATAACTTTTTTACACTAATCTAAAACCAGCTATTTGAAAATATAAGTTTAGCATTTACCCCATTAACATCATAATGAAACAATACTGAATTTCAAAAACTCAGATTATTTTTTCCTAGTACCAAACGTACTAAATGAAATCATTGATGCAGCTTCTTCGTCGACAAATGACTCGATATTTTAACGCTACTCACTTTGGTCACCAGGTGGTGGCAAAGGATAAAATATCATTTACAAACAGACTTCAACCTGATTTTACTTGGTAACTGGTGTTCATTTGCAGGGATTTGTATTGCATTACAGGTCACAATAGCCATTGTTATTATCTTCTAAACTTTAAATACTTCAATTAAGAACAATTCACTGTGTTCTCAGCAATGCATTTGACATACATTTAAGTCAAGATCTCCATTAAAAGGTCTCACTAGAGGAACTTATTGCAGAAAATTGGATAGTAATATAAGAATGGACATAAAGGTGTTTTTGCGTGTCTTTTGAGCCCTTATTTTCTTTTCACCTAAACTGTGAATCAGCACGGCAGATCCTGCATAAACTGCCAGAGAACTGTAACTGGTGTTAGGTGACTGACATTTAATGCCAGTGTTTTTTTAGGTCCCAGAATAAATATCTTTGTTTGAGTTGTGCAGTCCTCATAGCAATAACTTAAGCAATGATCTGTAATTTTATTACAAACAACATGTGTGTGTGTGTGATGCCCCTGTGGGTTCATCATTGGAGAGGGTGTGGCTGTCCTGTCTGTGCTGCATTGATTGCATTGATTGCAGTAACTCAGGGCACCTGGGTCTGGTGCCC